CTCACTTCGTCAATAAAATCGAAGTGCTCAGTAACAACACCCAATGGAATTTATTGCTCAGAGAACTCAAAAATGAGTTCTCGCTTTCTTTTTAACATGTTTTCCATTCTTCAACAATTAATAATTGACAAATAATAATAAAGTAAATAAATATGTAAATAGCGTTCTGTGATGTGCCTGATGATGAATTTTTAATTCAAAATCGGTCGTATAATACACGTATCAAAATACTCCAGATGAAACATTCATTCATTTATTTATTTTATTTTTATGTATACATTTTTCAAAAATTAAAATAAATTTATCAAAAAAAAAAACAAATATATGCTCAAAATCTTTTTTTAGTTTGCAATGATTTTTTTATATTAACAAAACGTAAAAAGTTGATGATTTTTTTTTTATTGTGATTCAGTTAAAAATATTCGTAAACTTATAATTTTGACAGTAAACTTAAACTTATAAAACAATCAAAACATGTCAATTTTTTGATTTATTTATAGGCATATTATATTTGCAAGTTGTTATTTAGTAGATACTAAGTGTGTAGACATAATTGTTTGACCAAACAGTTATGCTTGAAAATTTCAAGTACATATTGTTAAAAACAAATTAATTTAATTTAGTTTTTTTTTAAAAAGAATTTTAATATCTAATTTTGACGAAAATCGTGAATATTATGGCCTTTTAAAACATATATAACCAAACTCCACTCAAAATCGTTTTTAGTTAGAAATGATTAACTGTTATATACAGATATACATTAAATTCTCCTATATATCCTGCCTTTCCAACTACTCAACTACAAGGTTAGGTTATCAACTCCTAAGTTCAAGAATAAAGTTGATTTGTTCTAAATTCCAAGAGACACCAACTCTCAATTACCTACGTGGGATTACTCGTTATTAGCAATTTAGTAATTAAAATTTGAATAAACAAATTTTAAATAATAAATAACAAGGGCCATATATTATAGATTATATTTATATGTGATTATATTAAAAAAAAAAAAAAAATGATTATAACATTTTTCTGATAATGTTTTTTCCTAATTATTATAAAAACCCCTTAAAAAATCAAAATATGACCTCTCCAATACAGCAACTAATTACAATTTCATTTCAGAAAAGATGCAACACTGATACATAAGAGCTAGATGTCTGGTAGAAACGTTAATCTCAGGCGCACAAAAAAAAAAAATTCAAAAACGCATTTCATAGTAAAACCAATAAATCCCTAGTTCCACTCTGAACCTAATATTGTATTCAAATATTTTAGGATTATAATAATAAATTACCATGCAGGTTAAAATACGTAGGATATATTTACTCCCGACTGTGTTTTCCAATCATGGATGTGATAAGTATAACGAGGGATATATTTACCCCCTCGAGGTGTTTTTTTTTCGAGTAAAAATACCTTAGGAAATACTTGCCTTGTACGTGCATTTTAACTAAGGACATATTGTTATATGAATTATATACGAAGTTCTTGCCTTCCATTGTTTCGCATTCGTGGACGTTTACAGAACACGTACGTAGAATATATTTCCCGGGAGGGGGAGTAAAAATATACTAATATATAGGTATACTATTTATTACTATGAAATATTTTGGATGCAAGAATAACGTGTTAAACCGGTCCAAAATGCCGCTTTGTGTAATAGGAATAGCCTACCAACTGTCCTGGCTAAGTGGACCCATTTCGAAATCTGTGATGGTGAGATGCAGTACCTATTATAGTACAGAAATGGAAATCTGTACACAAATAAGCACAGTTTTTATTTTGAATTTATTTTCTTTATTTGGTTTAATTTAATAGTTCAGGAATCAAAAAAAAAAATATATATACATAATGCAATTATTTAACAGCATTATTTATCACAATTAACGAAGTACGTACACACCAGAATATAATTTATGTATTCATATCACACCATGACAAAAGTTACAACAACAATATTATTTTAATTTATTTGTTAATCTTGATTAATGACAATAATATTATGTAAGTACAATAACACACATATTAATTCTCAATTTTTTAAAGACTTATCCTGGTATACATAAAATTACAGGCCTTTTTTTCCGCACCACGTTACTGAAGACACTTGAATTTTTTTACGATTTTTTTTTCACTGAATCGTTCCAAATACTTCCTTGAGTGTTTCCATGCCACCAATTATTCTCAAATTCAATCCCTAAAGTAGTTAAAAAGGGGTTTTTAGGTATTTTTAGTGTGAATGTCTAATTGGTTATTTATTTCTGTTTATCCAGGTGCATTATCTATTTTCTTTAATAATATTTGTTTAATACTGTATATATTTCCCCGGGTTTTCCCATGAAAACAGCTGGGAAAGTCAAAAACTTACCTCCCTAAAGTAACACCCCAAAATAATTTCCATTCAGAAAAAGTACTATGATTGAAAATCGAATAAAAATTTCTTATAGAAAAGTTGTCCGTAGAAAAACAAATTATAAAATAAAATATCATAGTTTTAAAATAAAAAGATTCGTTTTTGCGTTAAATTATGTTAAAAAAAAAAAACAAATATTACGAAAACCGTTTTTAGAGATTCAGTGCTGTTCCGTAACTATTGTTGTTACGTAGAGTCAGGTTTAAGATAAATGAGTAAACACAGTATTTTACAAGTACATTTCGCTTTTAAGTAAATGTACAAGTCTGTCTGGCGTGAAGGCGCTTGCAAGATGACAGTGCTCCGACTCGTCTGAAAATGGGTTCCCGGCGGCCGGTATATGTACCCCGGACTCCCCAGCAAAAGACGCGCTTAGTTCGCGCTTTTCGACCACGCGTTATTGCGCCGGTCGAGTGATAACCTCACACGTCGGCCCCCCGCATCCGGGCCGTGCGTGAATGCTGCGCATAAATATCTCGCCAAAACGGTTTGTTCGCGGTCGTTCGTATCGCGCCGGAGCCTCGGTGGACAGTTGCCCGGTCCGTTCGGTGCGCCCGAGATCGGCAGCAGCTGAGGTGGATTTCGACAACCCGTGCCCGTCCGGAGAACGGAGCCTTGGTACCGAACAACTTCTCCCCCGTTTAATTTGACCTCACGAATAACGCCGTGGCCCGTACTCACGTGTATAATACCCCATTGCTGCGCCGTATAATATCATATTTATAATATTTAAAAGGAAGCGAACCGACGCCCGTAACATTGTTGAACGACAACGGTATTCTCAATCCGATTTACTAGAATTAATTAATTGTGATTAATACGCCTTTCGCATTTATACGATTGAACGTTTTGATTAAAAACGCGTGCAAAAAGGCCAAACCGTAGAATGGATGATAATATGGTCGTCGTGGACAAACAGGCAATTATTATTTATTATTATTATTATAATTATTTGGCAATAGCAAAGCATAACCGGGTGAGCTAGTAAATTATAAGGTACGTATCCTACCTTTCCAACTTCTTACGTACAACAACAGTAGCCGCACCCGTCCCCAGTACCAGCTTTTTTATTCTTTTTTAGATTTGGAACGTCACATGGAATCTCTATTAGTTTTACTACGATGATGTGCACCTACAATTTTTTTTATGTTTTGCGACTGCGAAATATTAATAGGAACAAAATCTCGACTTCTTGTCATTTTTCAACTGAAGTAATATTTCCGGTAGAAAACTTTAGCGCAACACAATGAAAACAGTAACACCACGGCGCGGCGCACCGTAAATATTTGCCATTTTTACCAATAATTTGCTAAATGACCTCCCCAATGCACTCATTATAGAAAATTATCTTTCAGAAAACGTGCTACAGTCAATACTTCGGAGTGAGTTTACCGGTAGAAAAGTTGTTCGCAGACGGCATTAAAAAAGAAAAAGAATTAGATCCCTTGCTACACGCTCCTAATCTAAAACAGTTCGCGTGATCACAATACAGAAAAGCGGACATCTGGAAACGAATGTCGTGTCTATTTATTTTATCACTTCATTAGTGTTAGTAGATAACGCGTATTTATAAATCGCTATAGAACGGCGCGATGTGCGATAACGGTTAGTGACGCGGGACTATCCGCGCACGCGCACGCACGTATATATCTGAACAAGATTTCCAGTAGAATTTCCGTGCACAGGATAAGAAATAACTAAACGTCTCAGTGGACCTAATACGTTTTTCGCTACAACCAGAATTTAAAATAGCCGCTTTTGCGTATTTATTGACACCGGTGTATGGACGCGCCCGTAAAAACGAGGCGAAATGACGGCCGCCATGTAGAAAAGCTAAACAAATAGTTCTGGCCACGATACTGGCAGGCCGAAATCATTTCAACAATAACCATCTATGTACACTGCGGGTTTCCACGCGACGGAGCGCGTTAAAAACGCGATACACGACCGACGGAATTCGTTATCGAAATCGTCTCATTCTGTGAACGGCCGCCGTAGTATACGCATCCTTTTTTTAACTCGCCGAAACGGACCAGTGTGATTTACCGATGACACGTCTACATACAAGATGTTCACTCCGCTCTAATCGACGTTCTCGTGGGTTTTTTTATTTTTTTTTTTATAATATAATATTTATTGTATTTATATTTGTTGCAGCACGTTACCGGTCGACGACGTCAAAGCCCCCGCAGTCTCCACAAAAGGTGGGACTTTGACGGACGACGACCTAAACACGGAAAACCACTGAATTAACGAAAACCACTGAACTGACAAAAACCACTGAACTGACGAAAACCACTGAACTGACGAAAATCACTGACTTGACGAAAACCACTGACTTGACGAAAACCACTGACTTGACGAAAACGGCCACCGTAGTGAACGCGATCGAAGAGCCCAAGTTTGTGGAGACTTTGACGGCCAACGACCAAAATCATTCGGTGGACCGTAACCCCGCATTATTGGTATTGACGGGGCAAAAATGTTTAACAACGCACGGTGTGTAAAACGTTATACCTACAATTTATCGCGATGAAATAATATGTAGTTTTGTAATGGTTCAATTCATATAAACATACATAGTACAATGAAGACTATGTATTTTTCCCGTAACTTTATAATTTGAAAAAAAAAAACAAACACATTTGGTTATATGTATTTCATTTCGATGTACTGCATTTTTTTTTTCAGCCAAAAGAACTGCGTACAGCCGAATAGTAGCACCGAAGTATACCGGCGTCGTCAAGAAGTTCTGCGGAGACGACACCGAGGTAAACATTATAGTTGAATACATGTAAATCGTGTGTTTATGCAATAATACTCGTAACGAAATAGGTTTACTAAATATTTGTTGTATTTTCTCGGCAAGACCGCGATCCCAGAACTGAACCACGTCAAAAAGTATTGGATACAAAGGCACCTACTTTTCGTGCGGTTCGACGCCGGCATACTTCTGGACCACAGTACCCTATATTCGCTGCCCAATAATAATTTATCTTGTTTTGTGTCTTGTGTTCGATTATTATTGTAGTTCGGTTTGCTCTGAAGTTTTGGCGAAGCATATTGCCGACCGGTGTCGGTTTCCAGACGGGATCGCCGTTGACCCGTTCTGCGGCGCCGGCGGCAATGTGATCCAGCTGGCCAAAACTTGTCGCAGAGGTAACGTACCTTTTATACCTACATAATATATTATTTTCGTTTATAATATGAAATAGTGTTTAACTGATTTTTTTTTTTAATTTTTCAATTTACATTAGTGATCGCTATGGATATTGACGGCACAAAACGCGTATATGGATGTGCCGGGAACTAGAATAGGGTTTCGTCAGAACGACTTCTTCACCGGACCGAGTGATCAACGGGCAAATGTAGTGGTCACGTCGCCCCCGTGGGGAGGTCCCGAGTATCTCCGCTAGGACTCGTACAGCTTGTCGGTCATGTGCGAGGTGTACGGGGGCGGCGAAGCCATCGTGCGGATCGTGAGATCGATGGCACCGAAGTTTGGCCTTACATTTGCCTAGAACGGTCGATAAATTAGTTTTCATTATATTTAAACAAAAACGCATTCATCATAAAAAAAAAAAATTTTGTTTATGTTAATTATATTATATAATATATACCTATTAAAATAATAATATTGTTATAGTATAAATCTTTTTAAATCTAAATTCAATTCAATGCCATTTTAAATGTAAAAAAAGGACATACTTTGCACAATGGGTGCAGCCACTGTTGTTGGTGAGAAGTTAGAAATTTAGGATATATTAATTAATTTGTAATTTTTTGTTAAATTAATAATTAATTAGAAAAATTACTTATTAAGTACCTCCCTAGTAAAATTTTCTTTTAGAAATATTGCTATCATTAAAAGGTGGAGCAAAATTACTGGTATAAAAGTTGTGCACAGAAAAAAAGGTGATTTCCCATGTACAACTGCTTTATTGTAATCATTTTCAGTAAAATGTAGACTGCATAAAAATGAACTACAATTTGGTTTAGAATTTGTCCGTCTGACAAAATGAGTCCATTTCTTTAACTTTTCATTATTATTCAGTGGAAACATAAGACAATAAAAATACAAAGTTAAATTATTTATATAGGTACTTATAACAACTATATCTGATATATGCGTTAATTTATACATAAATTATAAATAGTAATAATTTTCTAAAATAAAAACAAATTGTAATTTATTACATTTTAATTTTTAATCTTTAAAAAAATAATTCAAATTTGTATATGAATCAATTAGTTTACAATAGTTTCAAAAAATTGTATACAATTCACAAAATATTGTAATGAATATAAAATATCCAATAGCTGTATGCTTAATTTAAAAATGTAACAGAATTGAATATGGATTATGAATATGGATATTGAATGTAAATGGATAAAGTTCAACTGATATTTTTGTACAGCAACTAGGAAGAATAGAAACATTAAAACATTATGATCTATGACAGAACCGTATTGAAAAATTAATATAGGTAGGTAATAAACACATAATATCATAGTCATTACATTCATTAAATATGTACCGAATAGAATATTATAATTATTAAACGTAATACTTACAAATATTTTTAATTTCCAACGACTTCCTAGAAACGCGTCATGTAACTGACAGCGTGGGACATTATCACTGATAACAGAAAGTCGTTTATAACCGTGGTATTTTTAATCTATGTGTAGTGATTGTTCATTTATTAAACTGAGATTTATAGTGATCACAGATAATTTGGGTAATATTAAAAATATAGCGATTACTATATTACTGATATTATTTGCAACAACTTTTTGTTTTTGGAGTCCGTATGAATCTACACTAATATGCTTTGTTGTAGACACCTATTAGATCGATTGTTATAAAAAAAAAAAATTGTAAATACAACCATATATAATTTGGAAAGGTTGGCAGTAAAATTTAGTATATCGCGCCAATACTGTCTTTCTGTCATTTAAAACATAGTGTCAATACATCAGTTGTTTTGTAGAACTAAGTACACGAACTTCTATTAAATTTCTGGCTACCGAATATAAAATAATATTACATTTTTTATTGTTTTAATAAATTTGCAATCATTATATTATAATTAAATTAAGTATTATAATAATAATAACAAGTTGTATATTTCAATAAGACTTATAGAACGATATTAAGTATTATAATTATTGAACGTACACAATAATTCTAAAAGCACTTTATAATAAATAACAGTGTGCAATTTTCCACACCACCTTCACTATCGGAAAACGTCAATGAATTATTACAAGGAATACAAGAAGTTAAACGAAAATCTTTCGAGGTACTGCACGAGGCGCGTTTTTTTTATAGTGGTATCCCCAAATAGGCCTAATCCACTAAAACGAACCTAAAGCCACTTTTTAGGAGAAGTATGAAATTTACTCACACTGTCCTCTATGCATGACACACGGAAGTTCGACAAATTATAAATCCGGAATTCTTTTTCATAAAACGTGTAATTTTTGGACGTTTAAAATTAAAACTAATTGAAATACATTTTCATGCAATTAGAACCCTTAAAAAAGTAGAAATATACGTTAAGAAACATAAAACCATTTGGTTATTATTTATTAACTAAAATTTATTGATACAAGATATTATTTTTAAAATCGGTTTAACGTTTAAATCTGTATTAGTATTATTTTTCTTTAATTTATTGTGTATGTGTAATTCTTCTAAAACTGAATTGATATAAATCTTCGTATCTTATTTTAACATTTCTGTTTGTATCACCTATATAAAAACTATTAAAGTTACATTTAGATTTATGAATACTAGCATTTTCAAAAGAAGGGGTATCCTTGTGAAATTTTTAGTTCTATTGTTTAAAATATGTTTCAATAAATTAGTATTAGTCTTAAAATCATTTTTTTACATTATTTGTATTATTGTTTAGAATTTTAGCGAATTTGTTACACGTATTATTTTAATAATTCATACTGCAAGAGTTAACAAAATTATTTATCGAGCTGTAATTTATTTTTTCTGTAACACGTTTATGAATTTTTTTAACAGTATTTTAATTGAAATTATGTCTATCGGCTATATTCCGGATAATATTGAACTCGTGTTAATAATTATGTTCGCCTAATGGAATACGTTCAAACCTATAGAATATTGAATTAATAAATGATAAATTTTTAAAATAATGGTGATTAGAATCATGGGGTATTATAGCAAGTTTGTGTAGGTTTCCTGTAAATACTAAAATCGAACTTGTTGTTTATTATGAAAACTGTAAGATCTAGGAATTTAAATTAAATATCTATTTGTATTTCGAGTGTAAATCGAATGTTTTTATTCGTTTTGTTTCAGTTAACTAAATTTTCTGCTTGTCTATTTGAACCTCTAATTAAATTTTAAATTTATATTTTTGTGTTAATAATATTATTTCATAATTTTGGGTGTATATTCCAGATAAAAGAGCACTTAAATGTCCACCAATAATAATTATTTATTTATTTATTTATTTATTTATATGTTTAATAAAATATTATGATAACTACGATATTTAAGTTTTATTTTTTAAAATATTCTAAAGAGTAAATAATAATAAGTGTGGTTATTTCATTAGGTCTTTTTACATTAGTATGCAGTTAATTTACATCAAACGTATCATGTTTAAGTTATGTAACCTTACTTTAATTCCAAAATATATTCTACGGATTACGTTCACTGGATGGTAGTGTTCGATCTACTCGAATCTTCGCAGCCTGCCAGCACTTCATTAGTTTCGCGTACAATTGAATTAAATTTTTGGTACATAATATGTAAATATATATATATTTTTGCTATTTCCCACCGCATTTGGTAAACATTATCGCGCTACTTAACGGCTGGAAGGGCGGCATCTCGAAGACAACTACAGCACTCATCGAAACGTAAAAAAGAACACGACGACGACCGTAAAAAAAATGCATTCATTGTGCACGTCAAATTCATAAGGAAATAATTTACAATCTTCGTGCGTCACACGAAAAAAAAACGAAAAGTATATACAAGGCTTTCACAAAAGAGAGTGTTAGAACAAATAAAATTGTACGCCCAGAAAATCTGAGCGCACACAGCTCTTATTAGCGATCATTTCAACTTGAGCTATGTATTATTATTAATCTGTTATCATATTGTAGGGAGGAAACAAATAATAAAAATAATAGTATTCATGCGTCGTATTTGAACAACTCCACCTTTCCGAGCAATCAAAATAGATTTAGAATTATTTTTCCGCTTTCTTTCATAATTTTTTTAACTCTTAAGGGGTTGAGTTTCCTGATTTATTATCATTGGGAAAAAAGGCTAGTAGTTCTAAATAAGTTATACCAAAAGGCGGATGAACGGCCACTCAAAGTTAAAAGCAGCCACTTTAAGTTAAAACTCCTAGAGTATACACTTTTAAGAATTGAAGATCAAGTAGGTTTTCTACGGGAATGAAATGTTTTATCAGAATGAAAAGTAGTTTATGCTATCCAAATATCTTTATTCAAAAAACACGCCAGTAGGTATTTTCTTTAGCACCTGAAAGAAATGCGAAAAAACGCTTTCGTATATTTATCGTTCTTGGCTATACCTATAGTGGCCGGTGAATTCATTAACGTGGGCACAAATTCTTATCACAAAGAATAAGTTAATTTAATATTAAAAATCGAAATCTGAAAGATGTATTATAGGGGAACTAATATGCTAAATAAATTGCACCAATAAACTGTATCTATATGAATTTAATTTGTATTAAATATTATGAAATTATATAAAGAAAGTATGTCTGCTCATAAAACATTAGATAATTTAAAATTAAAAGTGAAAGTCGGAAGGAATTATATACAATTCGAGTACCATATAGGTATTGTACGGACTATAAAACAAAAGAACATTATAATCAACATATAAAAAAACAATATACGATATAATAATAAACAAACAATAACAATGACGTGGCTTAATTCGTCGAATCATGTATATGTATAGGTTTTTTTTATGATTAAACGACACGGTTATAGGTACCTACATATTTGTATTTTGGTAAGTTTAACACAGTACACGATAAATTATATTTTAGTTAAAGAATAATAAATGTATCCAATGTAATAACAAAAATTCACATATAATATAAATATAAAGGATTATTATAGTGAAA